CCCCACTATCCCTTCGCATATCATTTTAGAATAAAAGCACAATTTAAAATTATGTTATGAAAAAAACTCTCTTCATTTTAAAATCCTATATTTCTTATCTAGAAGTGCACTCCTTTTTTAATCAACCCTAAGGGATAATTCTCTATTAACTTTATTGGGGCAACAGATAGACCTTATAGGACGCACTTTTATCCTCCATCCTCTGCCATAGTATTATTGATTTGGTGCATTCCCAGATATTTCGATGACATCCTTGTCGGCATCATTCAAAGACGCTATCCTTAGCACAAAGTTTCCACTGATTGAATTGTCAAGTCAAGGCAATTTCCTTGGCCAATCTTCTATTCAACCTGTGTTGTATATATCCTCACTTGTCCTGTCTTCTTGGGCTGCATTTACATCCCTCAAGCTAATTTATTTATTTACATTCATACATGTCTTTTTCTTGCTTCAATGTCTCCTAAGCTTGTGTCACTTTAAATGGATTTGCTGAACTGTGATCATCTTTATCACCGGTTTCAGATGCCTTTTGTAGGATTTCTGGTACCCAATCAGCACTATCATTTAGATAGCAAATTTTTATTGGAGATTGCCTTCACTTGTTATTCTGATGGGTTTTAACTCTATGGTAAGGATGATGGCCTTTGCTGACGATTGGGGCGAAATTTGTGGGAATTTACCAAGTCAACAGTCCGATGTTGTAAATGATCACCAGTACTATTGCAGAGGACACAGTACTAAGTGTAATCTACATGTTTTCTTTTTCCTTTGACGAAATAGCAAATCCGAGAAAAAATCAACAGTAGACAGCTGAATAAGACTGCATCATATTAGTATTCCTATCTAGAATATACTATTTTTTAAGCCTGATAATTATCCCTGGTTCTAATTTCACTCACACTCGTCCAACATGATTAATTAAGCTCATCAACCAAACCAGACGCGCCAGATTACGCAGCCCTAGTCATCCCTTTCCTTGAGTGGCTAAACGTTAATTAGCCTAGATTAAAAGGTAGGAACAAGTGGTTTCGTAACTTGACTTACATGTTTACAAGTTCATATCTCATTATCCCAACTATTCTTGTCTGCGGACTTAGGCAGTCTCGATCAGACATTAATACACATACTCAAGCAAAAGTAACAGGAGCAGTATGAAAGATAATTTCCCAAACCATCCTATATCTATCCATGCCTGGTCATTTTCGTTTTTGGTTATGAGTATATGTATAAGGTTAGATAGATGTCCTTCATATAATGGACGATAGCTCAGTCTGTTTTCACCCGAAGCGAGGGTGGATGCCTTATGGACTGCGTCAACCTTAACTTAGTATAAAAGCCAAACGGCTCCTGTACAACCGGATTTATCCGTCTTCTGGTGAGATCAACCTACGAATCTCCTTTTCATGTTTACTCATAATAACTGAAGGTCTCTCCAACAATAAAAATAGGAAATTAGGCAACTTTCATTACATGTTGCTAGACAAAATATGTTTGTTTCAATATTAGCTCTTCCGTGATGTATTCTCTAATTCTTGTCATGTAATTTTCAGCCAACCTTGAAGCCATGCAATATCACATTACAAGGCCTTGCATTTATTAATGCAATTTTTCCTTATAGATGAATCTCTTAAGATAAAATTTTTTTGGAGGACTTTCATTTCGTATGAAAGTGCATGAAGAAGAGATTCACACTCGTCCAACATGTTAGATTATTCTCATCAACCAAACCAGACGTGCCAAATTACGGAGCCTTAGTCATTCCCTTCCTTAGGTGATTAAACATTATGGACCCTAGACTGAGAACTTAGGACAATAGGTTTCGTAATATTCTCGATTGTAATGGCAAACATATGTTTGCTTAATCGACAATCCCGTCATATATGCGAGTTGGCAGAGCCTGGCATGTCTTGATCTAATGACCATATAGTGGGGCTGAGCAGTAACATCTTCATAATACTAAAACCAATATCGAATCCCGCTGGGGGTGCTGATTTGACCTATCCTAGGTCGAAACTGCAGTCCACCCTGGATGAGATATCATTTTGGGAGATGAGGCTAAGTGAAATTTAATAGCATCTTGAGACCTTTTCATATAGAGATTCGAGTCACACTAAATCTCGGAAGGGTTCTTTGAAACTCGCCTTTTTTTCTACATATAGAGAATATTTTTTCCCGATCTTTCTCACTGCTTTTCGTTATATACTCTTATATTACTGGTATTTTTGTTGCAGATTGGTTTTCCAGAATTCTCTAAACCACTACTCGGTAGTTCGGCTCCAGCTACGTCGCTCAAACAAACCCAAGCTTTGACGCCCTATCAACATCTTTCTTGGTACTCCGACCTCTCACTCAAGCAGACAGATGCTGCTGATATGTATGAGCTGAATTCGATTGATTCGTCGTCGACGCAAAAGCCTCCTCATCTATCAGGATCGATTGATATTGGGGACCCAGATGCTACGGTTCCACTGGCTAAGGAAATGATATTTCCTGACCCTCGAAGAATGGGTTCTGTCAATCTTGGTATACTGCCTGAATGGCCTAATACACAGACAGATTCGAGAAGCCATATTATTTCCTATCACAAAGAAAAGCATTATTCACAATCTACTCACGTAATTAACCTCATAGAAGATGAAAATTGGCTTGGCTTGCTTCACGACCTATCCTACCTTATACTTTCACCTTACCCGCCAGGCTTCCAGCTTGCCCGCTTTGTTGGTTGGTTGCCCCAATTATTCGGTCTGATTGGTCTTATAGTGGTTATCTATCGTTTTTTCGTCGGCCATGCAGGTGAAGAAGCTGCGGCAGCTCTGCGCTTAACGAATGCAGCTAATATTACTAGATCGCAGAGCAACGCAGCAGAAATCTTTGTGGATAGATTTGCCCACAACCAGAAGATTTCCAAGTAAACTGGATATTCTTTATGTGTCTGACTTTATACTACCCTAACTCTTGTGATATCATCCTGTTTATCTAGGTCATACTAATGTTATATTAAATGAATGAATCCAGAGATATGGTACACATTTTGTCTGAGCATGAGTTTATTTCTGACTATGTGGTACATTGGAAGTACAGATATGATGGTAACTCAGCCTAATCATTACTACACTAGCTAATCTCGTATGCGCCGCACAGAATCATATCAAATCTAAGTTTCTTGTATCTTTGCCTATTATATTTGCCTAATAAGCACTAGATTTCCCTGACGCAAACATGAAACTAGATCATTTCTTAAATCTCTTATTAATTTCAAGACTGATATATCACAAAAACTAATCAGTTATTTGATCTACTCTTCCGCTATTTCTTAACATGTTGTTGAAAAGAGTTATTGCGTTTAGATCTTGATTCTGACCATGCGACTTGGAGAGACTAAGAGCTTGAAAATCACCTTGGTAGCTGTCTTATAGGAAATTGCCACCGAGACTGTCGATTTCATCGCATTTTCTGTTAATTTACCTAGTCAACCGTTATATGGTAGAAAGGAACATGAAAATGGTAGAAAAGTAATATTCGCAACGAGGCGAGG